AATATATGAACTAAGTTTGTGTGCAGCCTGCAAAAATGGCTTGCACAAATCGATGTTAGGAATAAACCTAAGAAGTGTCATCCTCTGTCTGTAGTCTACAGACAGTCAGGTAGCTTCTCTGAATCTGTGTCTCTTTTTATGGATAATTCACTTGTTTCCTGCAAGCATTTGAAAATGTGTAATAGTGTTCATTGCTTTTATACAGCCCTGCACTCCAGCTTCCCTGAATACCAGCTTTTCTTCATTTGCAGTCAGATGTTCCAAGCATAACATCTCACTGGCTTCAATGGACCATCCAGAGCTTGCTGGCAGAGGGTGATTTATGCTTTTGGTAGGAAGGAAGTCTTTACTCCATGGAGCTGTTGGTTCTCAATGGTGGAGAGGTGACACTTGCCTCATTCTCAAAATAAACTCTTAGAGGAAGAAATTAAACCCATTTGATTGCCACCTTCCCATCAGACAGACAAGCACTTATAAACACCTTCAGAAACATTCCAAGGTAGAACATTCCAAGGTTGGACTTGTTTGCCCAGCTGCTGTCTTCCCCGAGGTGCAACTGTGTCTAGCCAGGGGGAAGGTTGTCCTCATGGCTCTACTTTCCAACAACTCAGCCCTTGGAGGTGTCAGGGGATGTGAACCTAAGTCCTGCCATCACAGTGTGAGACTTAGTGGGTCTGGCACCTCAAACGATACTTTCTCAATGGGAATTTACGGTGGGTTTATGCAAATCCACAGTTTATGACAGATAGGTTGAAGTAATCTGTGTACCTCCTGCGCTCATACTTGGTGGGCTCTGCCTTGTAGAAGACTTGTGGTTTAACAGTAGTCAGCAAATATTTATTTGTGGCAAATATTTATTGTGTAATATGGGAAGATCTCTTTCAGTTGTAAACTCAAGACTTTCTTCCTTTTCCCCCAAATTGCCAAGGAAGCAATTTTTGAGATGTATTGCTGTGTTGATGGGTTTTGGCCTTGGAGTGATTCTTTGCTATTTTGTTTGAGATCACGTGACAACTTTTTGCCTTGCCTTTGGGAGAAGAAGTGGTGTTCTTTAGTTCTGTGATGTCTGTGAAAAGGAGCAGGTTAAAAAAATGCTTCTTCCTTGCTTTTTGGTTTGGTTTTGGGGTTTGGTTTTTTCTCGGTTGCAATATAATAAAGGCCTAATTGTAATTAGAGGTACATGTTAATATGAACCCCCCCGACCAAACTATCTGCTATAAGGAATACTATTTTGTCTTTAACAAGAAGAATCATTCCAAGGTTAATTCAAAGGTGCTTCCCCCCACACCTCCCTGAGATCTCTGTGACAGATAGGAAGATAAGTTTTATGTTTCCAAAAGAAAGCACTATCTTTAAGAGGAAAAGACACATCTCTGTAAAAGGAATGAAGTGATCTATAACTTCTAGTCTTAGCTTTTTTATTTTAAGGAAAAAGGAAGACAAACAAAAATGTCTATGGCTCTTTAAAAGCTTTTACTACTGCTCTGGGCACAATATTTCTCCCCTCCTTCATCCCTACAAATGTAACAAGCTACAGGTTGGGGCTTTTTTATTAGAAAAACACGTGGAGGGCATCTTCTATGGCTTGTGTTGGATGGAAGATCCCGCTGCCCTCTGTTCCTGCAGCCCCACAGTACCAGTCCCTGATGTTCTTGTGCCATTCTGTCCTGCTTGTCTACTCATTTAAAAATCTATCAGCCCCTCCAGGGGAAAGGATGATGAAAGGTACATCTGCTAAGTAAATTTTGATAGGGAAATGAAAAAGGAGAATATAGTTTCATACGAGACTTGTGGTGTTAGCTTTTAGCTGTCTACGGTTATCACCTGTGGTATACATGATGCTCTCAATGCATGGTGGTTGCGTTTCAGTCCAGTTTTTTTGTTTTCTCTCAGCTGTCTAGGTGGGCCCTTGCTGGGAAGGCAGGGACAGATAGCTCTGCTGTGCCTCCAGCCCTTGCGAGGCTGGAATAGAGGAACGTGCATCTACTGGGTCAGGGCAAAGGCTGCTTTGCTGAGCAGCCAAGTGGTTAACAGAAACATTTAGGGAACTGTGAAATAAGGTCTAGCTGTGAATAGGGTAACTTTTTTCTCCAGTAAAAATTCCCAGCTATGAGCAGCCAGTGCGTACCGTCTTGTAAATGGCCACAGATGAGTTTCAGATGACCAGTAACCCCACCACTCCACCTGCTCTTCCTACTCAGGGGCTCTCCCCAGCCTCTCCTCCCTGGCAGGACACAGCCACGGGGCCAAGGTGTCAAATACACGAAGTGCCTGCACAAATTTTGGAAAAGCTAATGGCTGGGTAGAGGAGAGAAACCCAAACTGAGGTCTAGAGTGACCGCAGTGTGAACTCAGCAGTTTGACCTGCTGGCTGGCAGGCAGGACCACGGGTGGCACAAAATCAGCTGAAGCCTGGCTTTCGAGAACCAGCTCTTCACAAAAGCCTCTGCCTGAGCCGGGTGCTTTAAAAAGCATGCTGCCAGATGTTTCTTGTTTCAGAAATAAGTAGCACCACGGAGGGATCTGCTGGTTTGTGAGTGCTGGGCTCCCGGCTCTGAGCCCTCCCCCAAGGGACCGCGCTGGCAGCCCTCAATGGCATTAGTCTGGAGCTGTGACTTCTTGTGGAGGGAGAAAGGGCCATTTTCTCCTTCAGCCGAGCTAATTCCCACATTTTCCTCTTTGCCATTTTATGTATGGGTTTTATTTGTCTTTCTCCAGCATTGTTTCCCTTGCTTATCTGCAGTGCTGCAGCCTTTAATAACTCTGTGTCCTTCCTAGGGATGTTAACTAGAGGTTGCTTTCCCAATTATTGACTTAACGAAGAACGACTGGAGAAAAATTTGATAGCTGGTTCATTTGAAAGCAGCAGTATATCTTGGGGACAGAGAACACTATGCACTAGCAGTGCACTCCCTTGGCCCAATATAATTCTTTCTGCCTCCGGGTCTTTGTTGTTCAAATCCTGGGATAGAGCAATAGCAGCAAATGGGCACCATAGTTAGGGCAGACAAGGTTTGAAAGTAGTGTCAAATGGCAGGAGAGAAATGGAGTCTGTATCCAGAGCTGGGTGAGAGGGAAGTTGGAGTTGAGTTAGGATTGATAAAAACGATTTCACAGCTCTGGATGTAAATTAATCCTTTTTTTTTTTTTTCCCCTATTCAATTTTCTATTGTAATTACAAGCCAAAATGACCATTACTGGGCACCTCTGCTCATCAGCTTTATGGATTGGTGTCAGCTTCAGCTCTGGGAATAATGTATTTTAGGTGGTGTTGTGACTGCAGGAAGGCACTTAGTAACTGTGGTTCCAAGACATGCAAAAACGGATAATAGAAGCAGGTAACTGTTGTGCTGGTTAAACCAGATATTGATTAAAAAGTCTGGGGATGTGAATTCTGCTCTCCTCTCTGCCTCACGTTTCCTCTTTGAGCCAGGGGAAGCCAGTGCACCTTTCCGTTGATCCTGTTGTTTGGCTCCTCTAAAGTGACATCAGAACCTCCTGACGTGTACCCTTGCATTTGGCACCCATAGAAAATCACAGAATCATAGAATTTTCCAGGTTGGAAAGGACCTTTAAGATCATCTAGTCCAACCATCAAACTAACTCTGATAAAAAAAAAAAAGGTCACTATACCATGTCACTAAGCACTATATCAACCCATCTTTTGAATACCTCCAGGGATGGTGCCTCAAAGTGTTCCTAGTCTTTCCTGCAGAATAGGATGAATATATTTTAATACTGGGACTTCTGGATGTCAGACACTGAGTGGGCTGGTGGTAACTGGTGTCATGGTCTGTAGCTGTGCAAAAGCAAGACAGGTTGTACTGCTTGACTCCACATCGTTGATCGGGCTCTGTTGCTCTACTCAAAAATCTTGTTCAATGTTTCTAAATATAGATCCCTCCAGTAAAGAGAAATCAATTTGCTCTCTCCAAAGTTGAGAAATTGCCCACAACAATTAGAAAGGGCTGCAACCATTAAGTGATTCTGGTTGCATCTCTTCCTAAGCGTGACAAAGCTTCTCCCAACGGCTGCAGAAGGGGGCTGAGGTGGCAGCCGTGTCACAGGGCAGGAAAGCACAGATGTCTGCCTGGGCGTTTCAACAGAATTAATGCTACACTTCTGCTAGCCCGATGTCATTCTTTCAGGTCATCAACAGAAAAGCGTGAGCTGATTCACCCTCTTGGAGTGGAGCTAAATCTGAAGCTCAACTTGCCCGAGGAGGCTTGGGTCTCGCCGTGTCAGGAGCGGCGGTGGCGCAGTTGCTCTGAATTTGCATGTGGCAATTGGATTTCTCCTCAAAGAGCGAGCCAACATTAAAGTGAGCTCAAGTGAAGGGCATTAACTGAGCTCAAGTGAAAAACATTAATTTTAACATCTAGCACGTCTCAAATTTCCAACTCTGTGTGAGTACGGAGACCTCGTGTGCAAAAGTAGCGTTTCAAGTTTAGATGCTGCCTCGAAAGGGATAGAATGACTGGATTAATGTGCCATTTGGGCCTAGTTTTCTTTACACAAAATGTGACTGATTGAACAGCTTTTTCTCAGTTATAAACATTTGGGATGGAACACAGCAGTCTGTGTGTATGTGATATGTGTTTGTGTATTTACATACAGCCACACTGTGGTAGACATGCTAATATATACAATCACACTGTTCTCTACTTACTTATTACCAATGTGAGATACATCTTAAATACTACCTATGCCATCTCAAGAGAGCTGCACACAATAGAGCTGACCTTGGAAAAGGTGCCAAGGGTGGTAATACACACTGTGGCTACTGTTTGTGCACTTTTCTGGGCATATCAGAAACACAAACAGTGCGTAAAAGGGGAAGAAGAGTATCTTGGAATAATTTCTTTTAAATGCAAGACATATCAAACATTATTCTAAGTTGTTTTTTTTCTTTATGAATAAGATTCTCAAAAGGGAAAAGTTAGTGGTGAATTAAGTTGGATTTTTTTAGTTGATATTTGTTTAATTTTGTGTTATTGCAGAAACTGGAACACAAAGAAGTTTTGGTTGGCTTGTTGTTCCTGGTTTTCCCATTCATCCCAGCCAGCAACCTCTTCTTCAGGGTGGGATTTGTGGTGGCAGAGCGAGTCCTTTACATGCCGAGGTAACTATTGCAATTGAATTCCTTTCTAATGAGACCACCATCCCATTTTCTGAAAGCAGGCATGATTGCTTCTTCCCTTTTACAATACTACAAACATTATATTGCTAGTCAGTATGTTCTCTGCCTTTGAGTTTTGGCGTGATAGCATGAGAGATTTTATAGTTTGTTGAGAGCAGATTGTTTGGCAGGAGCAAAGCTACCCAAATCCTTTCTTTTTTTTTTTTTTTCTTTAACGCAGAATTTTTTCTGGTGTGCTTGAAAGCTCAATACGGAGAAAAGGTGTTGTTTTTGAGGATTGTCCTCCAAGACCCTTTTTCTTGGTATCATTATCAACTTAAATTGTCCAATGTTTTTACTTTAAGGACAGCAGCTGAAAAGTTAACCTGTCATATTTTTATTGTGGTATTGCTCAGCTTTCCCACTAAATTAGGTGGTCAGTTAAAAGCAAAGGTGGCTACTGCTGTCTTAAAAGGCTGATGGCTTCAGTTGTGGAATATGCGCATGACCTCCTGCCTGTAAGCTGTTGGCTGCATACAGATCTGAAAGGGGGGGATTTGTGGTTACTGAAGAGGATGAGGAAAATCCAGCCACTTCTCCGTCACTCAGCCTCTGCCCTGGTCACTCAGCCTCTGCCCTGGCGTTTCCCTTGGTTTCCAGCCTCTAACAATTGTCACTTCAGCAGTTCGGGTGCTTCCAGTTGCATTTACTCAACAACAACAACTTTGAGATGTTGCTTCTGACATCTCCACAGTATCCAGACCAGAGGCTGCAGTGGTAATCAGGTAATTCATCCAAGATGCACCAGACCATTGCCAATTTCACAGAATCACAGGATGGTTGAGGTGGGAAAGGACCTCTGGAGGTCACCTCATCCAAACCCTTTGCTCACGTAGGGCCACCTACAATTAGTTGCCTGGGACCATGCACAGACAATTTTCCGTTATCTCCAAGGAGGAAAACTCCACAATCTCTCTGGGCAACCTATGCCTGTGCAGTTTGTTCCAGCCATGAGCTTAAATGGTCATTCTTGGATATTGAAAGCCAGAAAGCCCGATTCTGCCCTGGAGTGCAGAGGGTCAGCCCATCTGTTCTCTCTAATGGGAACTACCATTGTGGAGCTGTTGACAAAGCACAACTCCTAAATTTCACTCTGGATTACTTTGTGATAACTGAAACAACAGTTTTATTCCACAGAATGTTTATATTGTATTCTTCAGAAAATGCGCATCCAAAAATCCCAAGAAGAACACTTATAGGTGGTCTTTTGCAAAGCTGTATGCATTTTCTGGTCATCATTTGTATAAGCACTATCACAAAAGGGCTACTCATTGGTATAAAACTTGGGCTGCGTAGGAAATGCTGCATTTATTACAAGCTGCTTATGCAGTTAGGCTCTATCTCTGTGCTCTACTATATACTGACTTGCTTTTTGGGTCAAATCCTGCTGAATTTATGCACATCAGTAGCTCTGCTTTTGTTTGCTGAGAGTATACCTGAAAGTATAGTGAGTGAAAGTTGTCCCTCTGAGTTATTTTGCAAATGATACCCTGAACTAATGGATCTTGCATCATTTCAAATTAACTTGGAAATCAGATTGCTTTAAATTCATGTAACAGAAAATGAGGAAACACATGAAAGCGCAAAGCTATTAAGGAAACAGTCAGCTGAACACAGGGCTGTGTTGAGTGGTTGCATTTCTGAATCTCAAAAGAACAACTGCAGAAAATACTTCAGCCGTCAGCAGTTCCTCGTCCTCCTCCAGATGAGACTGCTGATATAATGAGAGGAGGGGCAATGAAGAAGAAAAAAGGATATGTTTGCGCAGAGAAAATTAATCAGCGTTAACATGTGTGCATATAGTTTGTATAATGCTTTTCATCTCCCTGAGGGCTTTGCAAATATGTGACCTACAAAGTAGGTAATTGATAGTCGCTGCTTTTTTTTTCGAGCAGGAAAACTGAGGCAGAAGGATTAAATGATTTCTCCTGAGTAAGTCTGCATCGGAGTCCCCGGATCTCATACTTTACTGAGATCACTCATGTCCTGCTTTGCAATATTTGTTTTTTTCTCTTACCCCAGGCTGGCTGGCAGGCAGCTGGTATGAAAAGGGAAGGCAAATCCTGCCACTTTGGAGGAGAGGTGGGCGGTTTCCAGCCAAAGGATCTGGAGAGAGCTGAGCTCTTGGCTTTGAGTTACCAAGAGAGGAGCTCTCTTACATCCTCTGGGTGCAAAATGATGTGAGTGGTGAGGGGGACTTCTGCAAACGTTCATGACTATGGCAGAATGAAAATAATACAGCGTGAGTTTTTGGTTTGTTTTTTTTCTTACCCTTGGGAATGGGGCAGTTTAATAATGATGGCTTTGGGAAGGGCTTGTGTTCTTTATTTAGAACACCCTGCAGCAGTTTTCTTGTGTTACATCTTGAAGAGGGCTTTTGCTATCCTTTGCCATTCCTTCTCTAAAACTCAGTTAGCAAGTCAGAGGTTGTCGTTCAGCTTTACTTAGACAAAAGTCTTCAATTAGATGGAGAGAACTCAGTGATTTATGGTTTTGGGCTTATGCTGGAAGGTGCTTTTCTATCTCTGTTACAAGTAATAGCCTTTTATTAATATTTATGGAAGTGACAGTTATGTATGTGTGTCACAGCCTGAAGTCCTCATTCAGTGTTGCTCAGTAGTTACCTGGGCAAAATGTCAAGCATTTTCTTTTCAATAAAAGTTAAGTAAGGACCCAAGGATTTATATAAAAGATGCTGTAAATAGTAAGGAACAAGGAATAAGCCTTTTGCTCGATGTCTAATTATGTGGCTGGGCTTTGCCTTCTGGGGATTGATGGGTATTTGGAACAATTCCTCTTCTGTCTGCGGCCGTGCCTCAGGGGAGAGAGATATAAGCTAAGTCAAAATGGTTGAATGTTTTCTTTAATTGGCTTTAGGAAAACAGAAATATTTGGAGAAAATATTTTTCGCATTTAGTTTTCATTTAAGCGTCACGAGCACTTATTTGTTTAAATTAGGAATTTCTGATAATAGTATTACTTTAGCCTGAAAAATTTCATAGGAAAACAACTTATTGTCTTTCAACTTAAAATTTTAATTTTGTTGTTGTTTTCTTATCCTTGTGAGGGGAAAACTTGTTTTCAGGAGGGCTAGGGGTGTGAAATGCTTATTTTGAGAGTTGTGGACAGGATTCAACTCTATAGGCCCTGGTTTTCCAAAGAGGCATCACAGTAAGTAGCTGGAAGTCAGTGAAAGATTTAAACCGCTGTGGGCTTTTCCCCTCTTCAAAATGTAGATGTAATTATGCTTACTGCGTATCTGCTAATGCTGCTCTGAACATCACAGACGGCCTAATTGTTTGAAAATCAAGAACAATGATGTGCATCCAGTTATTCTGAGCCATGAGCAATTTGTCTGAACTTGAAAGAGGAGCACTAGTCCTTGCTCTGTGTTGCCCTTCACATGGAGAAACTGGAGAGGCAATGCAAACTCTTGTGCCATCCAGGAGCTGCCTGCCCTACTGACATATCAGCAGGGCTGGGGTTGCTCTCACCTTATGGGATGGGGCCTTTCCTACCAGAGCAATTTCTGTTTTCCTCATCTTTCACAGCTACCCTGATAGTACTGGCTCCTGTCTGGGTTGCTGTGTTATAGCTGGACGACTCAAGCTGTTTTCACAACCTCATATGAACGAACAAATCAACCAAAACATTGCTATGTGGCTTATTTCCAATTTGCTGAAAGCGATAGGCAATTCAGCGGTACCTGCACCATTTTTATGGCAACTCATTCATGGTGGATATCGCAGTGAGTGGGTTGCAGAGCACCCAGTTACTCTTTCCCAGCACAGGCAATTACGGGTTGCTGTCATTTTTTCCACCAGCTCCTCACTAGATCAGAAGTTGATGTTGCAACCCTAATTGTCAATACTAGAAGATGAGATCACTGCTATATATAGGATTGCATTTGTTTCAGTGTCTATCTAAAAATCTGCAAGAAAGCCAACATCCAGAAAGAAAGTGCACTTGTATTTTTTCAGGAACTTAACATCATGTTAAAGCTTTCCCCGTGCCATAGCAAAGCAGGGACCATATGGAAGTTTTGCCTTTGCATAGAGCATGTTTTTGATTCTTCGTGCTAATGCATTTGTTCCAATTAGTGTAATTCCATACATTACTAACTTTTATAATTGAAAAAGAACCTGGTAGGTAGTGGAATTAGCTGTAATTTATATGAACCTGAATATTCCTCAACAGAAGTCTCCTTTGCTTAAAAAACAGCCACTTGAGGATGGGACTTGTCTTTTCGGGGAGCACATTGTGGTCTCCACATCATCTTCATTTACTTTAAGACCAGCTGTGGAATAGGGTGGTGCTGTCTTTTTCAGTTTCCTTTGCCACCCCCTTCTTTAAGGTTATTTGAAAGCTACATGTTCACCAGGAGCTGAATTCCTGTTTACCTGTTTAGCATTCCATCAGTATTAGATCAGATCCAGTAAGGGATCATCTTATTTGCAGAAGAAGCTTCTCCTTAATTGGAGTGAAACCTCAACCCCAGTGAAGTCAGCCGTGAAAGTCTCATTGACTCTGTGGATCCAGTTTATCTGCTCCCTGATCTCAATTCAGCAACATAATTAAGCTTTTTGCCTGCTTTCAACTTAAATCCACAATTCATTTGGGATTCAGGTATGGAATCCAAGTCACACCTGCTCCATTTACTGAAAAAAACGCGTGATTTTAATGCCTTATTCTATTGCTGCTGTTCTTGTAAGGGCCACGGAGCAGCCAAAATTCAGAAGGAGCAAACTGGATTATGTTCCCTATAATTCAGCCGTGGACTGGAGGGCACTGGGAGGGCATTAGGTGTGATGGCAATGGGCCAGACCCCAGCCCCAACCTGGTCCCTTCTTACCCTGAGGGTTGCCTGTCCCTTCTCCAGGCTGTCAATTCGAGCAGCAGCCTGCAAAACGGCTCGTGGCTGGAGGCGAGGAGATGGGGACCTC